TTGTGTGATTCGCGTTGTGTCATCAGCAGTATTGAGACGGTGGAGTTTCACCCTAGTGATATGAAAAACAGTAGTGAAAGCGTGATATTTCACGACTACTGCATATCACCGCGAATTTCGCGTTTTTCACCGAGTTTTACGCCACTTCACGTAAAACGGGTGAAACTCCAGTACACAATTAACGCAATCCCAAAGACTTAGAAACGACGCGCCCGCTGCGTGCCCCTGTTCAAACTAGTTTTTATGCTAGTATCATCAGTACGGGAAAATGCACTGTTCAACGACAATATGAACAGTGTTGGAATCTATGTTCAACTGAGCTCAGGAATTTCCTCGATATTATAGGAGTTCATATTCGTGTGCAGAAACCAACAAAAATTTCGCAAAATTTCCTCGAAGGTTTTTCATATTGTCATCAAGCTGACTGATGGTCAGTGGTCATGTGTGTATTTTCCCAAGCTGATATGGAAATTCTAGGAAAATTTTTTTGGGCTTTATGCACTCATATGTTAACCTCTATAACTGGCGTGGGAACTCCTGAGCTCAGGTGAGGACCGCTTGTCTGAATATCTTTGAAACGGTTACGAGTATCACCTATTCCTCTTGATATAGCATCTGTTATGTGACTGGGTATCGATTGCTTCAATTCCAGAGGAAAATCGTCCCTGCTGGAGGAGGAATCGGAAATTTCGTGATTTGCTCAAATGGCACGCTCCTTATATTCTTCCAACTATATATATGCCCAGGGTGAACTACGCGTATTTGTAGGAGTATGAAAACTACGAGCAACTTTTGAGAAATAATCGTTGGTGTTTGTCCACTTCTATTCAAAATCGTGTGTGAATTCTCATATTTAGTGAAGGAAACATACGAGCTCGGTTGAGGAAAGCAAACACTGATCATCTTTCTAGTGATTCGTTGAATCATGTGATTGCAGGTATGCGGAGTATATGAGGGAGAATGAGCCCGGGAAAGAAGATTATGGAGGACGAGCGAAGCGAAGCAGCGAAAGAAGCCGACAGAAAG